CTGCGTCTTGCAGATGTTGGCCATCAGAAGCAGGAACGGATGCGATTAAGAAAGATTTTAGTTGAGAATGATTACCCATTAGGATAAATTTATTACTTCTTTAAAATACTTGCAAACAGGAGGGAGGGAAGCGTCTATTCGGGGCAAGATAGGCAGCTAAACCACTAGACTAGGGTCTTGATGTTACCGTCGTGTCAGCTCTAGAAAAAGACAGAATTGTTGAGGAAGTAGGAAATCAGGACACACAGTAATGCCATCTTTTCGGGAAATTTCGGACCAAATTTCCTAATCGGGCTGCTGTAAGGCTTTATTTTCATGCGTTGCGTCTAGGTGGACGTTACCTGTCGAGGTTATCTGGACATAAAACAGCCTGCAACGAATGGTGAGTACAAAAGTCAGAACTGGCCGAACACAACCCACACGGGAGACCAAATGCCAAACGCTTAGCTTGAAATGGAGACTACATAAGTAAGCGGAAGATTAGGAGATGTACAGAAATCAACAAAACAGTCAATACCATTAATATAAGAATTGAGTGTAGGAAATTAAATGGAAACTACTTGTGGATGTTGGATAGGATAGCAGAGAGAGAGAGAGAGAGAGAGCTAACGAGAAGTACCGACGAGTAAAAGAAAGCTCGAATAACTTCAAGTCTGGTTATCATTTTCAAAGGTGGACTGCAATTTCTACCTCGCATAGGTCTTATCAACACTCCCAGCGGGAGTCAAACCATGACAGTGCAGAGTGTAAGCAGGAGACGTTAACCAGTTTGCCATATTGCGTAATTTTTCATCACCTTAAACGAAATAGAGTGAATACATATCAGTCTAGAAAGCCTACTTGTGAATGAAAAAAACTACGTGTTTTGAGGGAGGATGCAGTTGGGCGGTCACAAATGCATCCGTTTCACGCTTCATCTGCAGCGACTTCACATGTAATCTGCAGCCATATAACCTAATTTTTCAGCAAACATTTAGGCAAAACATATAATATCCCACCAAAACATGAGATGCCTAATTAAGTGAACCAAATTGGACTATAAGAAATAGGCAGGTTTGAAGCTAGTCAACTTTCTTGCTCACGTATTTTGGTGAATTATCGTTA